TTTTTGACAAGGATGCTAAGATCATTCAATGGAAAAAAGGATAGTCTCTTCAACAAATGATTCTGGAAAACCTGGATGCTTATCTACAAAAGAAAAAAGCTGGACTCTTGGCTCTACTACTATATATACAACAATTAACTAAAAATGGGCCAAAGACCTAAATATAAGGCCTAAAACTAGAAAACTCTTACATGAAAACATAAGAGAATAGCTTTATGACATTGGATTTACAATGATTTCTTGCATGTGACACATATGAAATGGCAACAAAGGTAAAAACAGATGAAGTGGACTACATAGTTTTAAAACATTCATGTATCAAAGGACACAATAAAGTAAAAAGGTAACCAAAAAAATGGGAGAAAGTATTTTCAAATCATGATAAAGGGTTAACATCCAGAATACATAAAGAACTCCAACAACAAAAATAAAACAAAAGGGGCCAGAGATTTAGCTCAGTGGTTCCACCGCCTGCCTTGCAAGCACAAGGTCCTGAGTTCGATCCCTGGTACCGACAAATAAATAAATAAATAAATAAATAATAAAAAAACCCAAAACACAACACTGACTAAACAAATGAGCTAAGGATTTGAATAAACATTTCTCCAAGCAAGATATGCAAATGACCAACAAACATATCAAAAGATACTCCACATCACTAATCACTAGGGAAATACAAAACAAAACCACAATCACCTCATACTCATTAAGATGACTACCTCCCAAGAAAGAGAAAATAAGTTTTTGTAAAGATGTGGAGAACTTATAATCTTGTGCACTGCTAAGAGAAATGTAAAATGGAAGTATATGGAAGACAGCACATTAGTTCTTCAAAGTATTTTTTTAAAAACTACCATATGATTCTGGAATTCCAACGGGTTTATATCCAAAACAACTGAAAGCAAAATCTCAGAGACAATTTTACAACCACGCTCACAGAACCATCATTCACAACAGCCAAAAAGTGAAAGTAACCTAAGTGTGCGTCAATGATGGATAAAATGGGATATACAGTAATCTTCACCCTCTTATCTGGAGTTTCACATAATTGAACCCAAAAAATATTAAACGAAAAATTCCAGAAATAAATTCATAAGCTTTACACTGTATACCAATATGAGTGGTGTCTTACTTTTCTCTTACTGCTGAGATAAAACACCTGACACCCAAAGTTAAAGGGAGAAAGGTTTATTTAGCTCACAGTCTGTAGAGGTTTCAGTCCATAATCAGCTGGCCCCAAGGTAGTGAGTGTGGCTTGGCAGACAGGCATCACAGAGGAGAAACAGTTCAAGGTGGGCTGAAGGCAGCAACAGCAAGCAAGCATGGGGCATTAACAGTGTCATCTTATCCAGAGTAAGGGCGGGTGACACTCACACCCTTAATCCTAGTGCCCTTGAGCCTACCATTGTACCATGAATCAATTTCAGCATCACACACTCTAGATCCAGCCAAGTCTGAAAAAACCCCACCTATGAACACATGAGGCTTTGGGGGGACATGTAGACACAAACCATAACAAGTGGTGTAATAAAAATCTCAAGATATCCAGCTTCATTCTTCCCAGGAGGTAGATCATCTCTTCAGGATATCTACACTGATGCTACCTACTCATTAGACACTCACCAGATGTCTTTATTAGATCTACTGTCTAGTACTGCAGTGCTTGTGTTCAAGCAACTCTTATTTTACATAGTAATGTCTTCATGCTAAGTAGCAATTCTGGTAATTTGGATATGCCAAAGTCATAAAGTGCTTATTTTAAGTGAAAAGGTGAAAGTACAATAAGATATTGTGAGGGAGACTCCATTCACACTTTTATTTCAGTATATTGTTACAATTTTTCTATTATTATTTTGTTAATCTCTAACTGTGCCTTATTTATAAATTAAGCTTTACCCTAAGTATATATTTATAGTTTAAAAAATAGCATGGCAGTAATACATGCATACCCATGTCTATAGCAGCACAACTTATAATAGCTAAATCTTGGAAGTGGCCTATATGTCCATCAACAGATAAACGGATAAAGAAAATGTGGTATTTATACACAATGGAGTACTATTTTGCCAGGGTTCAGTATGAGCTGCAATTTTAGGTACCCACTTTGGTCTTACAATATATTCTCCAGAGATAAAGGACTATTTATTATACAATGGAATATTATTCAGCTTTTAAAAGGAAGGAAATTCTAACATATGCTACAACATAGATGAACCTTGAGGACATTATACTACGAGAAATAGGCCAGTGACAAAGACAGATACTGTATGATTTTACTTAGATAGGGTACCTCCAGCAGTCAAATTCAAAGACAAGGAAGTACAATGGTGGTTTCCAGAGGGTTGGGGAGAGAGAAATTAAAGGTGCTGTTTAATAGTTATAGCTTTTTAGTTTTGCAAGAAGGAAAAAGGTCTGGAGACTAGATATAAAAATCAATGTACATACACATAATACTACTGAAACTCTACAATTAGAACATAAATTTTGTTATATGTTTTTAATCACAATTTTTAAAACAATTTTAAGAGAATAGGATAAAATATATTTGCAAAGAACACATTTGAAAAAATGACTAGTATTTTATAACATATAATGAGTTCTCAAACTCAGTATATCCCAATAAAAAAAGTGTAAGACTTGAATAAACACTTCACCAAAAACACGAATGTCATATAGGTATATGAAAATATTCTCAATGTCACTAATTATTAGGGAAATGGAAAAGTGCAAATTAAGCCACAAGGAGGCACTACACTTCAAATGTATTAAAATACATAAAATTAAGTAGACTGCCAATTCCAAGTGCTGACAAGAGTATGGAAAAACCAGAGCTCTCATACATAAAGGATATGTAAGACAGTACAAATACTTTGGAAAACATTTGGGCAGTTTCTTAAAAAGTTAAACATATAGCTACCATATGACCCAAGAATTCTTCCCAGGATGCATGCAGGTATAAGTACAAAGACCTGTACCTGAATTTTCATAGCAGCTTTATTTGTAATAGCCAAAAATTGCGAGAAGTTTATATAGCCCTACAATAAAATGCCACTACATAATAAAAATGAATGACACATGTAACATGAAACAATCTCAGTCATAAGTTAAAAAAAAAGGAACATATAGTGTATGATTCCACTTACTTAAAATTCTAGAAAATCCAAGCTAATCTATTGTATCAGGAAATAGAAGTTTCCCTGAGGATGGTGGTAGCGGGGGTAGGGAAAGAGAGGAACCACAGAAAAGCAAAAAGAGAATTTGGGGGGATGAAAGGTATCTTGATTGTGGTGTTGGTTTCATGGTTGTAAATATGTTACAACTCTTGCGGATTGAAAAGCACCTGTACTATGGTTATTCTCTCCAATAAAAAGAAAACTTCCTACAATAACATTAGATTTATTTCAAAAGTAAGTTAATCTTTTAAAAGCTAGAACAAGTGATGTATATGAGTCAATGATATAAATATCAAATTTTCTTCTCAATGATTAAAAGGTTGAAAGCATAATTTCAGATATTATGGTTCAAATTCAGTTAAAGTAGGGACTCTTGTTTACTACTGTAACCTCTAATTAAACATATAAAGAACAGAAAATTTTGAAAAGAGAGCCCACACCAAACACATCACATTCTCTGTCAGTAAAAGGTGAGAGGAAAGATCTAGAAAGCAGCGTGGAAAAGCCATCTACACTTTTGAAATGACAACTTTTTATTGCTCCTTTCATCCTATCTAGTTATGAATCTTAGCAGACAGAAATATGAGGTATGGCTTGTAAGACTTTGAAATGATTTGCTGTTAGAAAATGTTTTTCTGCTTAGCACAAAGCAATACCAGTAAATCTTCAAGATGCTTGTCAAACAACAGGAAAAAACCAAATTGGTCTGTGAAGACATTTGGTCAGGAAATCAGGATTCTAATTCCAGCCTGACCAACGCCAAGCTGTGTAACACTGATTAAACCACTTTATTTCCATTTCCTCATCAGTAAAATGAAAAGTTAGTGTACGCATGTGTACCTGAACACACATATACGCTAATTCTCATCAGCTGGTTAAATATAATAGGAAACTTGCAGCAGAATGGCAGACATTTCTATATTCAAGACAATTTACCAATAAATCAATGCAATAAGCTTTTCATGCATTGTATATTGTATGTATCTCCCAGAAACTGTCAAATGTTTGAGATACAGAGACTGTAAGTGGTTTAGTTTCTACTTAAAATAGACCATAAAAAAGAAAGGAAAAAGGGGAGGAAATAAATTCTTGCCTTGAAGAACTGAAGTGCAGCTAATGTGACAATTAAGACCCAAAACAGAGCTACCAAATACAATGCCTGGTAGTATGAGTAAGGAAAGTTCAAGAGCAATGGGAACACTCAGCAGGAAATACTACTGCTAGCTCACTAGTTCAAATTAGAGAAATCTGTCATATATATCGAAAACCATGAGGATTTTTCAGAAAATGCTCTACTAGAATAAACACAAGAAATTAAGAGTTTTAGAGATTGCCTAAGTTTCTTAATACTCTCAATCATTATAATTAATAATGACAACTAATTGCACCTGAAATATAGTCAAAACCAATCTTAATAGCATCTTCAAAATACAAAACCTGAGAATACCTTATTTAAAATGACTACAATGATATTTTTGCATGATTCTAAGAATAACAGAAATCTGTGTTTTTATTCTAGAATTGTATCTCAATTTTATTTATTGATTATTGACATTGCTTTGTTACAAAATACTGCCAGCTATGATTTACTACTTATATCTTAATAAAAAAATAACAAAAGCAAAAAAATCCTTTCGGACAGGTAAAATGGAAAGTTGTGTTGTAAGTACATAAAGTCTAGGTATTAACAATTTAACCAAGGTCACTAGAATACTTTGGTTTCTTCTCCACTCAAATCAGGACATTTTAAAAAATAAAAAATCTGCATGTATATAGGAGAGGAGGGAATGGGACAGTTTCTTTCAGACTTCCTATTGAGTTACTTACAGTGCTGATCACAATCAACTCTGGCAAACACTACTTGATTTTGGTTTGGATATTCTTCCTTAATGACATCAGAAGCTTCCTCAAAAATTGGATGCAACATCTGGCTGAAACGACACCTATACACAGACAAGCATACCAATTAGGAAGTGAAAAGGAAAAGAAATAAAATCTTATTTCTGATATCACCCACTGAAAGTATATGTACAATAAACAATTTTGTGGGATAATTACATGAATAATTTAAACAAGGGTCCTGATGCCATTCAATGGAGATGAGGGAATTTTTAAAGACTGGGTCACAACTCAAATATTGTATAAATAATTAAAAGAGTCCTGAATTTTTCAACTTAAGGTAACTGCTACTATTATGGAGCACAAAGCTAAGGCTCTCTCACAGAGGGCATCAAATAGGCCTGCAATAAAGCCTCTAAGATACACACTACTAAGACTTATAACTAAGACTTCAGCATTTATCAAAGAAACTACCTTTCTCTAAATAATGAACCTATTTTTAGATGACTGTATGACTCTTTTAAATTTATTGCAAATGTGAGATCAATCCACCTGGCTATTCTATCAAATTCCAGAGATAAGTTAGCATACTAAATAAGTTGTATTAAAAGGCACATATAGTACATAACATAAAAAGCATACATAGTATGCAAATATATAATGAACAAATTATTGCCTTACAAAATTTACTCCTTGCAAAAATGAGATTTTATATCTGTAAATACACTAACTATTCTAAGTCCACTAGCAAACATTTTAAACTCCTAAACAAGACTTTCTGTCCCTATTTTCTTTTTAAATTTAAAAATGGGACCTATATCCCCACAATATTCCAGAAACTTTTTACTTCAAACACTGTCTCTTTATCAGGCCAACTGCTTCATAAATATGTGCTGTGAGTCATTAAAGGGACCTGAGTAGAAACAGAAGAATCAGCATACAAAATCAGCTGGGTTAGAATGGACATTCTCATATGGGAAAGGTATTGAGACTATGTTAACAAATACAATTGCTATTATTTCTTTGAGAGCCCTTGTGTATCAAGAAACTTACTTTAAGGAAGCCTAGGAATTTTTTAATCCACATGTGATTTTGTCATACATATTAGGTATAATCTAATAAAAATATTGTAAAGCCTATGAAAGGACACAAATGTTACATCTCTTCCTTATTCTTGTATATGTATCTCTTTTAGCCTACTCATCTGACTTCCTAAAGAGATGTCCTAATATATCAAAGAGACACAATCTGTATCTTCAACCACTTGTTTTCAACTGGTTCTTTTGTCTTTAGCATTTTTAAATCTCTCCCATCTGGGAGAGGTGGATAGGGTCTGTGGACATCATGGACCATAATCTCATTTGACTATGGATTCTAATCAGCATTCAACTGATGTCTGTTAAATAAATAAGTTGGTAGAATGTAGAAACTGCGGCCTGGGCTCCATAGTGAGTATAAGGCCAGCCTGAGCTACATAGCAAGACCTTGTCTCAAAAAAAAAAAAAAAAAAAGAATGGAGAAACTGAAGAGGCTCTAGGTTTGTGGGTTCTTACAAATTTACTAAAACTAGGATAAGCAGAGAGCAGAGGGAGGCAAGGAGTAAGGATTGCTTTATGATTTAAGAATTTAGGTACGGTCAAATGAAGAATCAGTGGACAGGCTTCTGGTTTAAGGTCAAAGTAAACACTCACACGAAAGGGTCCTTCTGCCTGGTATTTAAGCACAGGTTCATGTTTAAAATAGCATAAGTTTTGGGGTTTTTTGTTTTGTTCTGAGAAACGGTCTTGCATTGCAGCCAAGGCTGACCTTGGACTTACAATCCTTCTGCCTCAGCCTCTCGAGTGCTGGAATTACAGGTGTATGCCACCATGCCTGGCAGCTGCTAAAGTTAAAGGGGGAGGTGAAATAAAATTCCATTCCAATATTGCTACACCTTCACATGCATGTATCCATAAACCCAGAAATGTTATATTTCTAAAATAACATTACAAAACCAATGGATCTATTAAAAGAAACTTCAAGTCACCTGCACCCAATTTCCAAGCCAATGCTTAAATCAATCTTTAACAAATCAACTCAACAGGTAAGAGTCTTTGTAGAGGCAATCTGGGACACTCACTAATATGCCTTAGTAGGGGTTAAAAAAAGCTTTGGATCTAGATGTACCTAAAAATCCCAATTCCACCACTTACTAACCATATTACTTTTCTGAGCCTCAATTTCTTCAACCTAAAATGGAAATTATAACACCTATTTGCAGGGCAATTTTAAGCATGAAAAATAATGTGTGTAAACAGACTGGCACATAAGCACCTACTATGGTTTTTTATTATGAGGCACAGCAGTTTTTTTTAGGCACTTCCATGACAGAACTAACTTCCAGAGAGAACTCAGAGTCTAGCCTTTGAAACCACAATGAATGAGTTTATATCCTACAGTCAATTATCTCAGTTTTCTCAGCTGAATAAAAGAACACTAACTCATTAACAGCTCAAGATATTAAGTTGTATGCTTTCCCAAATAACTGAAATTGGTCCATATTTCCAATTCAGTTTTAGCAAATGTCAGTAGCACGTTCTGTTTTTCCTTCTCATAATAAAATCCCTTAATGAAAAAAACTACTGTCTAAATTTGTCTCTACCACAATCTAACCACTTGGAAACCTTTGGAAAGTACTTTAGTCCTCTGGATCCTAGTGTTATTTTTAAAGTGGAATGCACTACATAATCTACAAAATTTTGGGACTAATATTACATTTGGAAAAATCTTAATTTTCTTTGGAAAATTATCTTTGCTATATACTTTATAAATATGTATCTTCAACTTTTTACTAAAGTTGTTTATACCATCCATATATAGTATACATTCATTTAGTACATGTTTATCATGTACTCATCAGTCAGGTATTATTCAAAGTGTTTGGGCATTAGTGTTGAAAAACATAGCTATAACTATTTTCACAAAGCAAACAATATAATAAGGAATCACCAACTAGATTCTAGCATACAAATGGGTAAGACTGGGGTGTTATGGAAAATAGAGATTACTACTTGACTTACAATAGAGTCAAGTCTTAAAACCAATCACAAATTGAAAATATCCTAAGTTGAAAATGTATTTAATATACCTAACCTACTAAACAGTAGAGCTCAGAAAGACAGCACACTGTGAAGTATTATATTATTACTCTTGTGATCATGTGGCTGACTGGGAACTACAGCTTGCCACTGCCGCCTACCATTGAGATAGTTATGTAGTACCTCATACCACTAGTTCAGAAAAAGATCAAAATTCAAAGTGCAGTTTCTACTGAATATGTATCACTTTTGCACCTTGGAAAAGTAAAAGAACCTAAAGTCAGACTTTGAAAAAGGTGTTCCTAATATGACTTGAGAGCAGGGGCAGGTATATTGACTGATACAGGAGATGACCTGAGGAAAACGGCATCTAATCTAAGACTTGAAAGATGATTAGCCCTAAGTAAAGAAGTGGGTGAAGACAAGAAGTTATCAGGAGATACCATTTCAGGCAGGGGAAGTACCATGAGTCCAGCAATGAAAGAACAGAGAATTTCAAAGGAAGAAAAAGAAGTTCTGTATAATAAGCAAAATGTAAGGAGTAGAGGGAGCCAAAAGATACAGCTATAGAGACAGGAAGGGACCAAATCAGAAAGGCCTTCTAGGCCAAAGTAGGGGACTTAAAGTTTAACCCCAAAGTAATGGAAAACACTTAAGGGGCCTGAGACAGGGTGTAAGTTAGTCTAATTTGCACTGCTGGAAAGAATTCTGGCTTATATTGTAGAGAATAGAATGCAAGCACATTAAAGACAGAGGCACACAAAATAAGTGAGGAGACTATTGCAGTAATCTAGATAAACTGCAGCACTAGCCTGAAGTAAGGTAGTGGCAGCTAGTAAGCCTTTAAGAGTCTAACAGGATAAAGACTGTCCAGAAATAAAGATCATAACAATATTTCAAACTTCTCTCAAGCTAAATCTCCCTTTTTCCTATCTCTATGACATGTTCTTTAACATCTACTACATATCATGTCTTTGTTCGGCCTTCTAAGAATACTAATAAAACATTATTTCTGTCCTTAAAGTCTGTTTTATACAACATATTAAAAAATAGAGCATAGATTTTTTTTTAAATGACAAAACAATGTACAATTAGGCTGAGTACCCCTAATCTGAAAATACAAACCAGAAATGATGCTCAGTTTCAAATTTTGGAGCATTTCAGATTTTGAATTCTGGGATTAGAGACACTCAATGGTAGTCTAAGCACAAATTTCAAACTCCAAAAAAAAATCTAAGATCTGAAACATTTCTGGTTCCAAGTATTTCAAATAAGGAATTTCAACCTGTAGTAAGAAAAACAAAGTGGTCCATAGCATACCATATAAACAAAGAAGATAGGATAAGACTCTGAGAAAGGAAAAAAGTTTCCTGGAAGAAAAGACACTAGAAGAATGGACCCTTTGGGGACACCTCCTGGAAAAGGTGAAAGATTATTTTCCCCTCTAAATTTGCCACACTTAAATCTTGACCTTCAACCTCTGCCCTCTTTCCACAGTCAGAGTAAACAGAATTGCAACATTTATATTTGTTGTTTTGGTTTTTGTCATATTTGAGTTTTTATGTTATCTGTTTTAATATGTGGAATAATGAAATATATGTCTTTCTTTAGAAAAGAAGTCCTCAACAAATTAACCTGCTTTATATGTTGAAGAGCCTTAATTGATTTTGTATATGGAATACTGTCTTGAAAAAGGAAAAAAGCTACCCCATTTATTCTTTTTTAGCACAGGAATATTCACCTTTAGGAAGTTTAAAACAAAACAAAATTTAAAAATAAAACAAAAAATAAAAAGCAAGATTACTTACCAGTCAGCATAAAAATTTACTAAAGCAACATCAGCATTGTCTGAAATGGAAAAAAAGAAAAGTAATTTGTGTGGACATAATGTGACATAATTAAAGATGATTTTCATCAAGATCTCTTCTCATTCATAAAGACCAACTAAAACTTCACAATAACAATTATCTCTCACCCAGAAAACCATACATACAGTCATGGGTGGAATATATATA